ACCAGGAGGAATCCCAGGAGGTGCAGTACCCGGATTAGGAGGGGTACCAGGAGGAATCCCAGGAGGTGCAGTACCCGGATTAGGAGGGGTACCAGGAGGAATCCCAGGAGGTGCAGTACCTGGATTAGGAGGGGTACCAGGAGGAATCCCAGGAGGTGCAGTACCTGGATTAGGAGGGGTACCAGGAGGTGCAGGATGCTGTCCTTCTGTTACTATTCTGTCAAGTTACAGTAATAGCAAGTTAACAAGTCAATGCATCTGGAATGGCTGTTACATATTAATTATTTATAAAGACAGCATATTTGCCATTTGTATAGCAGTCAATCTTATGTATTTTGTGTCACAGGGTATCCCGGTGGGCTCAAAGCTCTTAAATATGGTATGCCTTTTAATTAAAATTAACTTAATTTCTGCCAAATTCACTCACTCTTACACATTTAATGGGATTCCATAATACCAACTTAAAATACAGATTGACTGTCCTTGCGATCTTTCATGCAGGTCCAGGTGGAGTCGCAGGAGGATTTGGAATTCCCGGTGCAGTTCCAGGTCTTGGATATGGATTTGGTGCCGGACTCGTCCCTGGTGCTGGAGCCGTCCCTGGAGTCGCAGGAGTTCCAGGTTCTGTGGGGATCCCCCAGATTGGATTCGGAGTTGGGCCTGGAGGTAAGTATGGAATGAATTCCTACACTGTAATTATAATCACAGTCAAAGCCAAGCCTGCAACACACAGCAGGTGCATAGTGGTAAAAGGACTGGAATTATGATTGAGTTTGAGCTCAAGCAGGATCTACACTGGGGGGCAAAATTGTGGAAACAGTTACAATTTTTAGAGATTGCAGAACTTTATCCAGCTGTTGCTCCAGTTACTTATTTATTCATCTAATGTATGATATTAGTAACATTATTTGATTGTTTAGAAACAATCAAACATTTTTTAAAGCATAATGCCAAAAGTGATAGGTGTTTCCACAGTCTTGGCCACTAGTCTAGCATTGCTTGTTTTGTTTTTGAGAGACATCAATGCAGAGACAGTAGTTTATGTGTAAAGAGTGTAAAGCCATGCAGGGGTCACCATAGCCATGAAATAATGTGTGGTATACAGTTATGAGACTGTTGTGTTGTCCCACCATGATAATCAGTAATCACTAGTGGGGATAATCGCTTACAGTACAGTACTAATGTTTTGTGTTGCTTCCTTGTTTTAAAGGGTATGGTGGAGGCGGTAAGCCCCCAAAACCTGGTAAGAGCATCTTGTTATATATTATTCCAACACGATAATCATTAATCACCAATTGGGATAATCACTTACAGTACAGTACTAATGTTTTGTGTTGCTTCCTTGTTTTAAAGGGTATGGTGGAGGTGTTAAGCCCCCAAAACCTGGTAAGAACATCTTGTTGTTTGTAGTATGTCTAATAATTGCATAGAATATTGCTTAGTCTAATAAACCATAGATCCATTGTGGGCCGATGTGGGTGCAGGTTTGTGGGATGATCTCTCAATCAGCCAATAATAAAACAGTGGTTCTCAACTCCAGTGCTGACAGAGGTCATCTCAAAAACCCACACCAGCTCCCCATGGATCAGGTTCCCTACCCCTGGTATAAGAGATCTAGTTTAGTGTTTCCCTACCTGGTACACAGGGACCCACAGACAGTCCACGTCCCCCCCACCCCCAGCTCCCTGCCAGCCAGTCCACATTTCTGCTCCCTCCCAGCTCCCAGCAAAAATGTGGACTGTCGTCAGTATAACAAGTTCAGCCCTGTCCTGTAGGTGTCCCTGCTGTCGGTGAAGGGGTTCTGGGAGGAATAGGTGTGGATCGAATCTCTAGCACGGCATCTGGAGGTACGGCAACAAGGGTCCCGGGAACCACTGGAGCACCACTCGTTGACGGTGGAAACCCAGGTGCATTTTGACTGCTGCTGCATCTGATTCGCTGTCTTCAATGGCACACTGCATTCTCCTAACCTCACATTGCTATGGTTTATGTTGCTCACATGACCTGCACTGAGGTATGCATTTAGGGAGAACTGGCAGCACATTCCATTGTTAAGGGCCTGTTTAGACCTATCAGTCGCAAGTAAGTTTATTGCAAATTAACTTTTCATTTCAGTTTAACATTTATCAGTAGCTCAGTTAAGTACATACAAAGTTTTAAATGCTATGTATCTTACGCAGTAAAAATACTCGGTTGAAACCTGTAAAAACAACAGTTTTGGACATTCGTAATCTAGAGACAGTGGGGATCTGTTGTTTAGTTCACTAACCCCAGCTGTGATGTATGTTGCATCGTTTTACTGTTTCATTATCATTTTCTATGTCTTACAGCAAAGGGACCAACGCAGGCACCTGGAGAAACTAAAATCTTAGGTCTGTTCTTAATATATTTAAATCAAATAGAAATGGTACTTTTTCATCCATGCTTCTAACTTCTCAAAGATTTATTTATGAAAATGCCAAGGGTGTGCCTATGAATTGCATCACAGGACAAAATCTCCCCAGTTGGCTCCCCCCAGTCCACAGCAAAGTATTACATCATAACATAAGTCATCCCCCCAGATGCCCCCCCTCTAGCCCTGTGGTCCTGTTCTCGCATTAGTACCGAAAAGGCAAACTTTTGTTTGTGTCGTTGTTTCGTCTCCATGGGCTGTAAAACTTGCAGTAGGGATGTGTATCTCCCTCACCGAGGCTAATGAGATACACATCTTGATGCATTGCCAACAATCCGATACATTAACGATACATATGATGCAACTACTAAAGCGATACAATGTTTCACTCCTATTGCGATACAATGCGATTAGATACAGTTTGATTCAACACAATGCAATTCGACGAGAGACAACAAAAATAATATGACACTATGCAATTCAATATGGTACAGATACAGAACCAGTTTTTAGGGAGATGTATTAAATCTAAATATATAACTATTGGTCGAAAATTATTGGTCACATTTTAAAATAATAAAGCCAAAGGGCCTTTACTAATAATTATATATTAATAAATCAGATTTTACGAATGCAAAGATGTTAGAAACAATGCGCATTCCCAGTTCACCCCAGTCTGTATCTGATGTACACTTGTTAAATCGAGGCAATTACACCGTGAACTTCTATGCTGGTGCACCAATGCAAATTGGTGAATCTTTCCGTCCCTAACTTGCAAAGAAGTCTGACACCTCAGGGACAGGGTGAGTACCTGGGGAAAGGCTTTTGGATGCTACACAATACTAAGCAGCACTTTGCTGCTCCTGTGACCTTGTTTTGTGACCGGCTCTGTAGACAGGATGAATCAAATTTAGCGGTGACAAGACCCATAAAAAAACAGCTTATGAAATAGTGTAGAAATACATAAGCAGCTACTGTATGTGCTAATCCTTCAATGTGCAGATATTATAAAGCAGGGATCCCCAAATCCGGTCCTGGAGGGCCAGTCCGTGACATAGTCTGCATATTTCCCTGCTCAGACACACATGCTAAACCAGGCTGGTGAGCTAAATAAGACATTTTAAAGTAGGGAAATCTGCAAACTGTGTCGCGGACCAGCCCTCCAGAAATTGGGGAATCCTGCTATAAGGGTTTAAAAATACGGATGTGGCAAAGGTTGAATGCTGTTGTCTCTTTGGCAGGAGCGACGGCCACTGTTGTGGCTCACACAGCTCCATCGCCCAGTAAGGTTCACCTAGTGGTCGCATGCAGTTCCCACGATAACTAGTGTCATGGTTGCCCCCACAACCTCAAAAGTGCCTGTCTCACCATTTTCCCACTAATGCTGAGCAGCCCCCCCGTGTCGGCAGGTGCACTGCCTCAAGGACACCCCCTCCCCATGCCTTTCTTGATGGGTTTCCCCAGATAGAGGACCCTGTTAAACACCCTGTAGACCACTAGCCATGCTCATGGAGATCTACCCCTCCACAGAATTTAGGTGCCGCCCTTAATTTAACACACCTGATACAGGTAATCAGGCCCTTCAGGGGCATCTCAGTATTAGTACTAACTTAGCTTCAGTGCAGTTGGCTCCAGCACCTACACTGCTCACAGAAACTCCTGGGACGCTTCCTTAATTCTTTAAAAATGTTGCAGATTTATTGGTTTCATATCAAAACAAAAGTCCATTGCCAAGCAACACATTTTCTTTTTGTTAAGTACAATTTTTTTAAGTCATCCAGCTGTGTTCTTGCCATTTTATTATTAACTCCAATAGTCATCGACTTCTGAAGGGATACTACACACACTATGCTATTGCAACTGGACTCCATTTATGTTATTATGTCAATAAACATTTTAACTCAGCACAGCCCTTTTTAGAGTTATAATTTAGGTTTCAATTTGTTACTACTTTAAATGCATGTTTTACTTAAAACTACTATTTATTTAAAACTCTCTCTCTCTCTCTCTCTCTCTATATATATATATATATATATATATATATATAAACAAATTAATAAAGCCATAATTTTGGTTACAAAACCAATATATCTGCAACATTTTTAGTGAATTAAGCACGCATGACAAGAGTCATTCCGTGGGCGCTGTATCTGTATTGGGTGAGTTAAATTAGGGCTGGACTAAGCTCTGCAGGGTGGTATATCTTCTGGAGCAGGATTAGTGACCACTGCTGTGAACCATCACCTCTTTGTCACACAGTTGCATTGTTAGAAATGACACACTCCCTCACTTCCACTCTCTCCTACCCCACGTGGTTCTTCATATGTTCCGCTTCCAGGCTGACATTGCCTCTCCGTTCCCTTTGACAGGTGCCGGAGGTGTTGTGGCAGGTGAGTGACCAGCGTACTTCGGGGTACTGAATCTAAAACCTCACCGTACTTTAGCACCCACAACGGGATGGGTGCCTGACATATTCTAAGAGGTGCGCCAGCTAGACAGGATATGACATCATCATCAATGGAGCGGCGTGGTTTCAGAATCACTGACTTAGACCAAAAACATGAACTATTGATTTAATACTGAAATTTAAATAATTCTTTTCCTCTAGGTACAGAGCTACTGAGTCTTGACGGTAAGCTCATATGTTTGCAGTTGGGTTGCAATAATGATTACTAATATGTATGAGTCATTACACATCATTAACAGAGATCCTTATTAAGCATTATTAACTGTTATTACAGTGGGTGCAGGAGTTATTCAGCCTAGTGGTAAGTGATTTAATGTTTGAGCTGAATTATGTTTCAGGTGATTTATTTTGCTTATCAGTAGGATAAGTAATACTTATAAACATCTCTCTTGGGGCAAGAATACACTATAAAATTAGGAGTAACAGCCATGTTTTGCAATGAATATAATTTTTAACAACAGACTGTCCAGACATTGTTTCTTTCTATTAAGACTGTTAATATTCACCATTTTTTTTAATTCTTGTATTTCAAAGGAAGGTATAGTCAATGCAATTTAATAATTCTATAATTTCAATGAACAATTTACTAAGTCAACTTAAGTCTTAACTTATTGAGTCAATAATAATGTTTTGATGTTTTCCATTTTTTCAGCTGGAACAAGCATTAGTAAGTACTTTATTCAGTTCTGTTTTTTTTTTTATTCTTTCAGCATGATGGTATTTATTACATTTATTACTGCAATATAGTGCAAAACACACAAAATCTGCCCGGTTGGTTATGCTGAGTTATTAATCCTTTACTGAGAAATGATACAGTACATTTTGGTAATTACTGCAGTGAGCAGAGCTAAAGGGGCCCTATTATGCTCATTTTCATTGTTTATAGTTTTATTTCTGGGCTGCTAGAATAGATTTACTTGCCTCAATTTTCCAAAAACATTATTTTTCTCATATTGTGCATCTCTATTCACTCTGTCTGAAACAGTCTTTTAGAGATTTAAGCCCCACCCACGATGAGCCCAGTGTGTTCTGATTGGTCAGCTTGCCTGATCGGTCTGTTTGTCCAACACGTTCTGCCCTTGCCAGAAAAAGGTGCTGCTCAGGCTTGGTGTTGTGTGAAGGCGTGCCAAACTTGCAGGTAGGCAGCGAATAAATATGTAATGAGGTGACCTCACTATGTCAAAAAGTAAGGGCTGGAATTCCAATGAAGCATTTCAGGCAGATTAGTGGAGAGTGGTTTTTGCTGTGAAAATGACTACTTTTGGCTTGTACTTTCAGTCTGGAGACTTTGCAGACTGTTTACATGCACATAAAGCTATATAACACGGTAACAGAAGGGGAAAAACCAGAAAAACATAATAGGGCTCCTTTAATATAGTTAATACAGGCATTAAACACAGTGATTAAATGCATAACCAAATGAGGCATTAGATCAACAGTTTTGATGATTCTGCTGGAAAGAAAACTGGGTAAAAGTATTATTCTTATTGGTCAAATCCAGATAAAAGAATAACTGGTGAATATAATCATACAAACAATTAGAATAATCATCACAGAAGTTAAAGTTACATTTTTTACAGGCACTGGTGCTGGTCCTGGTGTTAGTCCTGGTGCTGCTGCTGGTCCGGGAAGTGGAACTGAGTCACTGCCGAGAGCCAAGCCTCTAAAATCTCCAGGTGAAACACTCAGCGAGGCTCAGAAGGTCTTTGCGGTTTCATGCCTGAAGATCTGGTCTCTGTTTGCATTCCCTGTTCTGTCAGCTGTGGATGGAGAGTTTGGTGTAGCAAGCTTTGCTCCTCCTCTGCTCAGTCCCACTCTTTTGCTGAAGTGAATAACTTCATCGGCCTTTCACAAATAACCCTAGAAGTGCACTTCAGACATTTCCATCTCTCTGATGAACCTGTATGATAAACATTCGGGTTGGAGGCTGTTCTGCCTGTTCCGTCCACCTGAAGGTGTGAGGAGATCATGCAAAATCAAGCTAAACGGTCCCATGCGTAACTGGATGGTAGGTGACTTGGTGCCAAGATTGCTTCTTGAATCTCCTGAAGCTGCATCATATATATTTCAGTTCACGTCTGTCAACTTCAGAAGTTATCTATCCGCCTTAGTGATATGCCATGTGGCTCAGCGGATTAGCACACTTTGTCTGAGATTAGAAGACGGCAGGTTTGAATATTTTCTCTAAAAACAAAAGTATACTGCTTTAAATGACTGCTATATAAGAAAACGCCGCAGGAAATGTGGCGGAGTATCATTTGAACAGGATTAGCAGGTTAGTTTGTTAAGTGTGGAAGGGTGCATCAGAGACGCCCAAATGTCATTAAGAATTACTGACTATGGCTGGATTGTTGCTGTTGGAAGGGAAAAAAAAACGCTAACATAGGTGTAGTAAGGACAGTGTATCCTATACTATATGCCATGGGTCTCCAACTCCGGTCCTGGAGAGCTACCGTCCAGTAGGTTTTCTATCCTACCTGGCTTCTGATGAGCCACACCTGTCCTCAGGTAAATACCAGGGCCAGGTGTGGCTCATTAGAAGCCAAGTAGGATAGAAAACTTACTGGATAGTAGCTCTCCAGGACCGGAGTTGGAGACCCCTGCTATATGCTATACTGTATGCATTTATAATAATGAATGTATTACTAGTGTTAATATGCAATGCAAAATTCATAATTTTCACAAATCAACATTTTAAGTAGAAACAGTTATAAATACATGGATATTAAGCTTTATGAATATGTGCATACAGCACAAACAAATTCCTCATATGAAGGAGTCTCATCATCTGGATGTAATTTCCCTGGTTTTCCTGCAGAGGGCTCTGTTCTGTGGTTTGGTAATTACCTAGGTAGAAACGTTATTCTTCTCCTTTGGTTATTAACTTGTAGCCAGCAGCAAAGGCTTATATGGGAGACTGTAATGTTCTGTCACCAACAAAAGACACATTGTTGCCTCATGGTCCCATTGAATTGTAGGTAACTGTAAGTTGCCCTAGTCAGGCATAGAGAGTTATCAAATTATTTATGTTGAGAAAGATAGATTCAGGGTGCTGTTCACTCAGAATGCAGCTGGTTTCCATGACTACACCTTGTAGATAAGCAATGATCGATGTGATGTACTGAACTCTCCTGATCACTTGACCACAGACAACCTTAAATAATAGCTTAACTCTTTTCTCAGTCTTGGATGCTGGAACCTGGTGCTTAATAATGATGTTTTCTGGTTTTTCCTTTTTTTTTTTTTAGCCGAAGGATCTGAGGGAACAGCCAGCTCACAAAAAGAAGGTGAGATCCGCTCCTTTTTGGGCTTCTGGGCTAAAAACATCACACAGACTGACTGTGCTTGTGCTAACGATGCTTGTCTGTTATTTAATGCACTGTGTTTATGTGCAGCAAGTCCCTTTGAAGTAGATTATAATATAAATGCAAACAAGATAAGGAGCAAATGCAAATGCTTGTCTTTCACAGAAAAACACTTAAAAGTAAAGGACTTTCAGATGATTTTAGCAAAAAATAAAATCTTACAAATTCTGAAGGAATGTATGGTTTTCAGTAATTTAGATGAAGTGCTGTTTCACTAGGCTTCATTATGTACAAACCAACATTGAGGTTAGCTAGTGCCGACCCAGAATTCTCCGGCTCTAGTCATGGAACTGAGGTGCCTGTCAAAGTTTAACTCTGATCTCCCTGCCAGGCAGAAAATGAATTGTTAACCTGATGGGTAATTATTGCTAGTGATAGCAATAATAGTGAGCCAAATGACGCTTCAGGAACCATTTTCTATACTTTTTGACCACACTAGATGGCGTTGTTGGTTTGTTTTGGGCAATGAATTTTTTAATAGAGAGCACCATCTAGTGGTATCAGGAAATACAGCAAATGGTTCAAGATTCATTTGGCCATCACTAATTATTGCTGCTTGCGAATCTTTGAAACGGCATGTAGTACAAAGGCTTTCTCTGTGTTTCTAATGTATCTGCCCCCTGTTTAGCCAAAAACAATGGCCTCCGGGGATTACTGGGTGGAAGCAGCTATGGAGGTAACAAACCTTACTACTGGATGACCTCTGGCCATGCGTCCACATCACTGTGGTTTCTCTTCCTAACCTGCATGCCTGTTCACTAGTTTTCACTCTTTATTTCCAGAACAATACATTTCTCATTTACATTTAACATTTTTAGCAGACACTTTTGTCCAAAGCGACGTATATATGAGGCAAATAGCACAGAAGCTACGCACAGCACACAGGGCGAGTCAAGGATGTGACCTTTACAGGGTGGTCAGCCCCCCCCCACATACATACACACACACCACCCTGATTAAATTTGCTGGGAGGAAGGAGATCCTCACAATAATGACTGCTGAGCTGGGGGTAGGAAATGTAAATGAAGATCTGGGACAAATTACTAAATGATTTTAGAAAAACTATTTTTTTGGGGGGCTGAGACAACAAAAATAAGGCAGCTGAAGCCCCCCTAAATAAGGTCCACAACATAGGCGTCGTTAGGTCCAATAACTGGGGGCTATAGCCCTGGGTTTTTCACCCCCAATCTTCCTTCAAAAAATAAAGTCAAGCCCTGGGTAAACTTGATTTAGCCCCTGATTTTTTTCAATAGCTAGAAACACCCCTGATCTAGAATAACCTGTAACTACACAGTATGTTTCAAACAAAGCAAGAACATTGAAAGATAACTATTCAAATCAGTAGACAAAGTGCAATAATGACAGCATTCAGGGAATATGCAGTGGTATCGGGTAATGAAGGTATTCCTGGGTCTTAAGAACAATGAGCATTAAATCATGAAAACATTGTAAACTTAACATGTTTGTGTTCTAGAGGGTTCTGGATGTCAAGGCAGATCCTGTGGGAGAAGAAAGTGAGAGAACTTGAGCATATCAAGACCTCAAGACATTATGGTGCTACTTCCTGATCCAGAATGTACATTTTTACAAGCAAAAATGTTTGTTCTGCTTCCATGTACCAAAGTTTGACTTTCCTTTGTACTGTACTTGAGTAAAAATTCATTTGCAAGCACACAAATGTAAAGAAGCGTTTGATATTCCTGAATAATATTTTTTTTAAAATCAGTAGCTTACAGTCAATGTATGTTTGAATAATACCATGCTGATTGTTAGCCAGTTTACAAGCAATGCATTTACCAGCCTTTTTGTTTTTTTAGACACACAGAGTCTGAAGATGTGTGGCTGCTACTTTAAAAACTGTGCAAGTGAAGGCGTTGCAGCGTAAAAGTAGGCGTGTCCCGTTTGATATTTCGTATTTTAGTGTTTAACTCGTCGGCAATTTGTGCGTGGACGTTATTCTGCAATAAACGTAGGCCTAAAAGCCGGTACCTATGCAATCATGGCATTAAACTTTCAAATTGTGTTTTACACATACGCTTTTTATTTTATTAAAAATGTAACAGTGAAATTAAACGATGAAATTATACAGTACAATGCCTCATGAGTAATAAATAGGGAATAAGTGTATATAGGAAGAGATACTTACACAACCACCACGTTTTGTTACGTTGCGTGACTAGAGTGCTTTTCTGATTTTTGGAAACCGTATAAATGCAATTCCCGAATAGGAATCAAGATGTTTTTGAGCACGTTCTAGTTAACATTTTCAATTGTATGGTAAACGTGTGCAACATTTGTGATCTTCTTGTTCTAAGCAATGTTTACTGCGGTAATCAGGACTAATCATGTTTTTAAATCGCTCATTAGGCTGCGTTATTTAAAAAAATAACATTTTTATAATGTTTTTTAATAATATTATTAACATTCAAGGGTGTCCCCGGAGCGTACCCACGAGGTCTGTACTATGAAATGTGTCAGGCCAACAGGCTTAACTTGAGCGGATGGTGTGTTAACATTTTCATTGTTTTAAAACAAGTTTTATAAGGCAAGTAAAAGTCGTGCATTGCAGACTTTCCTCCGGGTAAATACTGATGGTGTGGTGGGAAGGATCAATGCATGTTTTTGTTGAATACTTTTGATCATTTGTTGGAATCGCCCTGCATTATAATTGATTAAAAATTAACGTAATAAAGTATTTTTCAGCGTGAATTTTTCCAAGTGGTGAATATGTTCACAATGCAGCCTTTCCTCAATCGATGTGTATTGTTTGCAATAGTAGCTTATACCATACAACATACTGTCTTTGCATCTACAAGAAAAAAATAACAAAATGAAAATGAAAAATGGTCAGATTCATGATTATGCAACTCCGGCGTCCTTTCTGAAATTACAATGGTTCCGCCCTCACATGCTGATGTACACCAGCAGGCCCCTCCTTATTCTACTCTGCACGCTACATGCAGTCGGTGCAATCGGCCGGCCCTCCTCATACAGGCCCCGTCTTCTGTAGGCTGGGTAACTGCACCCTTCCAGTGCGGGCCAACACACTCTGCGGTGCTGGGGACATTAGGGTTTCTGCGGAGCGCGATGCCCAGGGACTCCCACCCAGCTGGGCCGTGAAAAAGGCTGACTCCCCTTAATCGCCGGGTGAGGGACGGACTTATGGCACAGGTAGAAGGTGGGTCAATAATATGATTTCGATCATACGACCATCGATGCAGTTATCGCAGATCGGGAGCGCGTTTGGAATGCGCGCTCCCGGCCGCGTTGTTCATTCGTGTATAAAACTTAACCAAACTCCTTAACTACTAAAGTTAACTATCTTAATTTGATAAAACTATGCAGAATAGTTATGCGTTTTAGATATGTATTAGCCATGAAAGTAATGTTAGCTGATTAATTGTAGGCCTGTTAAGAACCTCGACAGCAGTGTCCACCCATCTTCTGACCGCTTATCCTATAGTCACGGGGGCCCCAAGCAGAACGGGGCACAGAGTTGGTGTACACCCCAAATAGGGTCAAATCCATCGCAAGCCAAATACATATGAGTACTAGTAGCAATAGTAAAGTATTATTAGTACTAGTAATAGTAATAGTATTTACAAAAATCATAATAATATATTGATCACAAGCGGATGTGTATTTTTCTCTAAAAATGTTAAATTCAAATTGCTTTCTGGTACCAACATTTTCTTCTTGGAATAAGTTGCAAACGTATCGTCACTTCTCAGCAAATGTGTCGTTACCGGTCAATCTTTAAAAAATCAGTAGATTTTAAAGAAAAGAAAAAAACCTTGTACACACATAGTGCAGTTATGGTTTTTACCACATTTGGCTGTGTGTTTCAGCTGGATGCAGTTTTCTCGTGTGCAGAGGGTGCGGGCGGCGGATCCAGGACCCCCGCTACGTACAGGCGCTGGACTCCGACTGGCACGCGCGCTGTTTCCGGTAAGAGTTTCGGTCTGCAAGAGTTCGCAATGTACAGTCCCGCACTTCGATGTTTATCACACTGAAAAACAAACCCTCCCGAAAAGCTTTAATAACATGACTAACGTGATAACATGATAAGATCAGGGAGAGGAACAGCCGACTTATTATGGAGAATTTTTGGAGCTGACAAACTTCGCATTCTGGTTTGATTTTATCGTTTTATTCATCCAACCCAAATTATGACTGTATCATACGGTGTTTTAAAACATCTCTTAAGTAACATTTAAATATTTTTCTCATGCTTACATTTAAGTCACTTAGGCCAAACCCGACAGGAAAACAAGCTGTGTCTTGCTCCCCACGCGCATGTTTGATGCTGGTGGCCCTGCTGTTTATTACTCTGAACACATAATTCTGCTCATTGGCTATTAAATAATAGCTGGTAGCTCACAGACAGCCTACTGCCCGTGCAGAGAATCTAAACGCGGCTATGCTGGTACTGTATGCTTCGCATCCCAGTGTTGTTATAGCATCTTTCGAAATGTCACGTGTTAAAATGCTAAGAACATGACATTTTAGGAAACCAATGGTGTGTACGCGTTCGAAGCGCCATCTTGTGGCGAATATTGCGATACCCCTAATCAAATATGTAATATAGAGTCACACATCAGCCTTCATTTGGAGAATATTTAGCGACTGTGACATTTCAGCCCCTCTGAACTGTGCATCACCCTGTCATAAATGCTCAGAGCTCATCAATTATCCTATAATACTTGGCTTATTGAACATCTAACGCTATATCTATGGTTGCAAGCCGTCTTAGGGCTATTGACTCAGTTATTTAAAATAAAGGTTATCTGGCAGGACTCCTGAATAAGAAAGAGAATTTATGGTATCCATCATCATTATGACACCCCCCTCCCCCACCCGCCTCAAAGAGTCATTGGTCACTTGAAATACTGATTCTTCCTCCTGACCACCTGGTGTTCTGACCAGATGGTTTGACCTTTGTAGAATGAGTTATAGAATCTCTGAATGCACATATCATAGTGTTTGGGTGTTGCTTTTAACTGGAATTTCTGAAATAGTGAAAAAACACTCTGACAACTATATTTGCTGTGTACGTGTGACTTTGCACAAAATAAATTCTTTGGGGTTGATTGTTTGTGTTTGGACAGGGGGTCTATTGTTATATGGTTGTTTTATTTTGTGTTGCACTGGGCTGTGTAGGTTACTGATGTTCCAGAAACCCTGAATGGGTGGAAGTCAGTCAGCATTTGATGTTCTGTAGAGGTTGTGATGTCTCCCCAGGAAATCAGCTCACGGAAATGAGAGAGAGAGAGAGAGAGAGTGATAAATAGAGAAGTGTGCTTGCATAGTTGTCATGCAATTTCGATTAGACTTTTCAGTAACTGAGTGGACCAAAGCTTCATCTCTGGTTGCTAGTGGTGGGATATGTCACGGAGGGACCAGCGGTACAGAAAGCTGAGCAAGGGGAAGTAAGGCTGTGGAGTAAAACTCATGTTGTAACCAATAATCAAATGAAACTGTTGTGGTAAAATGTCTTTGGGAGTTCTTTGCATGGCTATGGTCAGGAGAGGCTGGCTCCGTTAGAGATCTTAGATTTACATGTGATGTTAATAACCTAAATAATCACTGTGAGTAATTCTGTTCTAAGCGATGTGGATTTCACACCTAACCAGAAGCTACTTTTTAAGTTATAATTTTTTTATTTGTCCCTTGTCTTTGTATCTCATTAAATGCTTTTTTTGCTCTGGATCTGACCTGCTGAAGCCGGTAGAGTTTGGGTTGTGGGTGTGCGTGTTGGAGAGAGAGAGAGAGCGGCAGACGTTTGGCCTGACAGCTTGCTGTGGGAATTCAGGGTGGCCGCCAGTTCGTCAGAGCCACAGCTTCCCGTAGAATGTGCGGAAAAAAACAGTTATCCAGTTTATTTTTGTGAGCTTCCCTCCTATAACATGTGACTTCCTGGCAGATGGAGGTTTTCATGAGATATCTTTATTTGAATGAGGCAAAGGGTGAATATGAGAGATATGAATATGGACACACCATGTTTGGGTGTATGGGTGCACAGATGTGGTTTAATGTGTGGGGGGCGTGTGCTTGCACTTTATCCACACTTGACATTTTGTTTCTACCCTCGGAGTACCACTGTCTTCGCATTGCCTAAACACTCTCTGAACGTTTTTCCCTGGAGTAGGTGCTGTGAGTGCTTGGACTCACTGTCGCACTGGTACTATGAGAAGGATGGCCGGTTCTTCTGTAAACGGGACTATTGGGCCCGATTTGGAGAGGTGTGCAGAGGCTGCTGTGAAACCATCACCACAGGCCTTGTCATGGTAAGAGACTCAGCATTCACTCGGACCACACATGTCTACACATCCCAACAATGACAACCTTAACCCCTATCTAGCCCTGTCCTTAAGCATGAGTAACCAAACAAAATACGAGACTTCTGGCATTTTTAGTTTTTTTGATTGCAGTCACAGATTTTTATCAAATTGAAAAAAAATGGTCCCCACAATGTCAAAATAACAGGTATTTATTACATTGTGGGGACCTTGTTTGCAACATGTTTTGCTCTTACAAAAGTTTGCTTCCTCTCAGTCAGTAACCCTGTCTGCTTCCTTATTGGTAAATGATATGTTTCTCAATTAATTTACTCTCACTTCATCTTCCCCCTTCAAAGATCAGTTCTGGGCACAGTGCCCCTACCATTGAAATGTATTTTCCCCCCTTAAATTCCAAGATCCCAAAAATGGTGTCTCTGCGTCAGTGTTACGGAGAAGGGGGTGGACTTCATGGCTGTACAGGAAGTCATCAGCTGTACTCTGGGCTGACGGTGCTGGTTCAGAGACCAGATGCTTTACTCATTCATTTAGAAATCTGCACAGAAGTCTTGCACATATTGCAACAGAAGGGTGACTGATCATGAGACAGGTCTTTGTGTTTTCTATCATAGTTACAGAGCGGTTTGGGCAGAACGATGGGGATCGATAACATACTACACATGTAGGTGTGGCACGGCTCATAACAAGCATCGTGCACAGCCAGGTTTTGTGGTCTAAATGTCGTAATTTTTGTTTTCACCACATCGGTACCACTACTTGAGGAAGAAGCGCGAAGGAGCCTTCTGCATGTGTCATTCAGGCAATGCCAAAAGTGGGCTGTTGCACTGAAATGTCTCCTACTGAAATTGTCATCTGACTCTCCGATGCCTTTCATAGGTTGCTGGGGAACAGAAGTACCACCCAGAGTGCTTTAGCTGCCTGTGCTGTGGGGGGGTCATCGGAGATGGGGATGCATACGCACTGGTGGAACGCTCCAAACTCTACTGGTGAGTCTGCTAATGGCGGTGTACAAAGTGCTGGGAAAACAGATGCGTGCATCTGCAACTGACCCTGGATAAGTTTGTTTACTTAGCTTGTTGTATAAGGGTGTACTGACACTAGGCGATCCGTACTGTGCCCAAACATGTTTGACCCCCAAAGTGCAGTTCGTTTGATTGATGTGATTGCTCGGCACAGTCCGCTTAACCATGCCCTGGCCCGCTTGAAGAGGTGGGCCCAGGCACGGTTGAGTTATCCTCAGACATAGCATGCATCTAGTGTGATCACTAACCATGCTCGAGCACGGAACTCATATATGACGTCGACGATACGACCGGCACACGCATGCACACATATGCACTATGAGGAGAGTATCCAGGAACAGCTGGATGCAACATACAAAAACTGAGAGATATGATAAAATGTGGGACTGTCTTCTAATACGTGCAGTACGTAAGTGAAAATAGCATTGGATACTCAATAAATCTATAAAAGAGCCATACGAGGAAAGGTTATTTGAGCTAAATCTGTTCAGCCTCAAGCAAAGGAGACTGAGGTGGGACATGATCCAGGTCTATAAGATTCTAACAGGTTTGGATGCTGTTCAACCGAATAGTTACTTCAGCATTAGTTCAAATACAAGAACTCGTGGCCATAGGTGGAAATTAGCGGGAGAACATTTCAAACTGGATTTAAGGAAGCACTTCTTTACACAGCGTGTAGTCAGAGTATGGAATAGTCTTCCTGCTATTGTAGTGGAAGCTGAATCCTTGGGTTCCTTTAAATCAGAGCTAGATAAGATTTTAACAACTCTGAGCTATTAGTTAAGTTCTCCCCAAGCGAGCTCGATGGGCCGAATGGCCTCCTCTCGTTTGTATAGTTCTTATGTTCTTATGTTCTTATGTGTCATCGCACCCGAAACGACTCCAGATAAGCCACAAAGTAGCGCATCAATCATGATCTTCATTGTCCTGTGTGATAAAGCTTTTCTTACTATGTTTTCTTCAACACAAAAAGTTGCACAGTGATGATGAAAGCGTGCTTGGGCCTAGAATTCCAAGCACAATGTGAGCGCACACCAGCGGGGGAGGGGGGGGCAGGTATGAGTAAACCGGGCGAAGTGTGAGTACACCCTACGACCAGAGGAGTCCAGGCAAAGGCCCTAATGTTCCACACCCTGTAATGCTTGGTCATTGTGTTTTGTGTTCTCTTTATCTGCAGTGGACAATGTTACCAGAAGAATGTCGTCAGTCAAGTGACCCAGCCGGACTCCCCAGATTCCAAGGTCCCACACGTAGTGACACTGGTGTCCATACCAGCCTCTCCTGAGGGGAACCGGGGCTTCTCAGTATCCATCAGCCCGGACTGCAGCTCCAGCACATGTGGGCCAGAGTGCAGCCCCACCGTGCGCGTATCAAGGTGAGTCAGCAGGTCTGCGTGGCTGTTAAACTCATCCAGTCACAGTCTACCAGTGCTGACCACTGGGCATTATCTAAGAATACACAATTTAAAACACAGTAAACAAGGCATGCACTGCAAATTCTTGAATCAAAAGTGAAAGTAAGGCAGCGAAATGTGCTTCTGTGTGAAACATTTCTTATCAGTCAGCCAGGGGCGCTCTTCATGGTTTTTAGATGTTGCATAGGCTTATCATTGCTAAACTCATCCAGTGAATGACTTTTATAATTCTCACTAAAACCACTGATAAAACAGTAACAGAATATTTAAAAGGAAACAGAAGAGGTACATTTTTCTTTTTGGAAATGTTCAAAATATGTCCAAATAAATAAAAAGTGGACTGTTGAAATGGACCTTTACGAACTTCAGATGAGAGAAAAGCTAGGAAATGTAAAAACAGGAGCAAAAGCTACATCAGCCTGTCAGACTGGAGGCTACTAAATGGTAGTAGGAAACAGGCTGTGGTTCCAAATGATGCTAGGAAACAGTCTCCTGAACAAATACCTTGTCTTTCTGTCTAGTGTGGACTTGAACTGCTGCAGTCCAGACCTGAAGAGCTCCATGTGCATTGGGGACCGCATATTGGAGATCAATGGAACCCCAATTCAGAATGTTCCACTAGACGAGGTAACAGCCACTTCCACTCAGCTCAGCCTGTGAAACTCTCCCAACCTTGGTCACTCTATTTTTGTCCAGGCTTGACCTAGAACTACTCTGTCTACACTAGATTGAACTGCTGATTCAGGAGACCGGCAGGAATCTGCAGCTGACCGTTGAGCGGAATCCCCATGACCCCAGAGATTTTGGGGATCAGGTCGACAGCCCAACAGAAGTGGTTCAATGCAAAAGCAGCCCTGGCTCTGAACTCTCACTCCATCCAATTGCCAACAGAGTTCGCACTAAAGTCATCACGTAAGAGCTCTACAAAGTGACTATTGGGGTGTAACTATCAGCCCAGTGCTTCACCCAACTTTTGTGGGATTTATACTCATACTAGAATGACCCAGCAATGCTGCTTTAGTGGGCTCAGATGTTAGTATCGCAGTCCTAACTTGCCCAACAATGACAAAATCCAATCAAAAATTTTTGGACGTTATGCATGTTCTTCATATAAAGTACTAATTTTTCATGACCACCATGTTACATTATAGCAGTCTGACATTTTATCCAAAGTAACTTATGCTAGAGGGAAGGGCTGCAATTTATGCTTACTGGGATTTGAACCCACAACCTTTGTGTGAAACAAAATCTTGGTCCGGATTTGTTATTTCTGGACCTGGACTGATAGAAAGGCATCCGAAAGTGACCGTCAGCTGCTTTGCACTTTCAGACGCAGCTGCAGCATTGATAAATCCCCAGTCCCCCATGGCTCTTCCTCCCCCCTGTCCCACCGGAGGGACATCGGGCGCTCAGAGTCCCTGCGAGCTGTGCCTACGGGTCGGACAGATCGCATTTTCCGTCCCTCTGACCTCTTCCACGGCCAGGTGTTGGGCAAAGGCTTTTTTGGACAAGTCATCAAGGTGCTGCCTCATCAGCGGCCTCTGTGCCACAGTCGCCTTTTTCATGCATGTGCACCACTGCATTGACCATGTGCTGCCTATTTATTAGTGGACTCTCTTTATATGCAACTTACTGAGGTCTAGCTGTTCAGGAGAGGCAGGACTCGAGGAAATTCAGGTATAAAGTCGGTGGACTGCAATCAAAGGTTCATAGTGAGTGATGTGGATAAATGAATGAGTGAATGTTACATTTATATAGCCCTATTTAAGACACCCAAAGAGTTTTAAAGAACCAATGGGGAGCCACATTATCCACCCCCACTGTGTAACAGCCATTTGGATGATTTGACGGCAGCCATTTTCTCTTCATTCTATGTAGCCTTTTTTTGTTTTTGATTGGTGTTTTTCCTTCCAGGATCATAGTGTCCACTGCACTCAGTACATCATTGCACATTATAAAGATCTGTGATCCAGTATCTGTAGATTTTCCGGATAATCACTGGAATGCACCCATGACATAATTTGCTGTCTATAGGTCACACATCGTGAAACAGGTGAAGAGATGGTGATGAAGGAGCTCCTCCGCTTTGATGAAGACAGCCAAAAGACTTTCCTCAAGGAGGTACGTCTGGCGGTGCAGGAAATGAGGGGGGGGGACCATGTACCCCACAATATTTAATTTGGCTTAATTCACCCCCTGGTAATAAATAGACCGTTCCATTTACATTATGAAGCTGCCCCTCCCCCAATATCAAACTCTCTTCTATGCCTTTGGGTCCATCACATGGCTGAATTACCCCCACCCAGTGATAGAGATCAGCCTGGCTGATCTGAATCCAGTACAACTTAATTTTATGCCTGACCAGACCCAGTGTGTCGATGAGTAAAATGTTCTTGCTGACCTCTCCAGGTGAAGGTGATGCGGTGCCTAGACCATCCCAATGTGCTGCGCTTCATTGGGATCCTTTACAAGGACAAGAAGCTTAACTTAATATCTGAGTACATCAAAGGAGGTACCCTGAAGGACATCATCCAGGACATGGTGAGAACCCAGTAGGGTTTAGGTTCTCATTTCATCTTTGTGTTTCTCTACCTGTGTGTCTCTGAGTTTTCTCATTCATATTCTGGGGACTGTCTGTATGTCCTGCATCTTGTACAACATACACTAATATTTGATATAAAAAAAAATCTATGAGATATAATATACAGCCATGAATACATACAAAAAAATTTGTCATTGGAGGGAAGTTGAAGTAATTGTGTGCATGTTGCTCTGAGGAACAGAAAAATGAACAGAAGAGGTATATTTCCCAGTCTGTCCCTTTTCCTCACAAACAGGACAGTAATTACCCCTGGAATCAGAGAATAGGATTTGCCAGGGACATCGCCTCTGGAATGGTAAGTGTCAAGCACTTTGTGTGTTTATTGTACTCTGCTGCCCTCTAGTGAAATTACATAATATAGCGGTTTAACTTAAGGCAATTGCAATTCCATGATCTTTTTGCTATAAATGAAGTAAATCCGGTTTCATAAGTAAAGGAGTTTCCTGGGCCCCTAGACGTAATGAAGGTAGAGAAATTGGGGGCAAGCAAGGCTCTTTGTTTCCTAATGTAAGTCTATGGCAAGAATACTTGGCAATATTAAAAAACGAAGAGAACCTGACTTATTTATGGGTTTGTTCCACTGGTGCCTTGTGGTCTTTAGTTGGTCAAGTAAATGTTATTATTTACTCTCAATGGCTTCAGCATCATTTTCTGCTGTCGTTCACATTTATTCAGGCGTATCTGCACTCTATGAACATCATCCACCGGGATCTGAATTCAAATAACTGTCTGGTCAGAGAGGTGGGTACCACGTGTGTACATTGCACTTTATGGAGCAAGACCCTGTTCTTCAGGAATCAAGGTTTAGAAGGCACAGATGTTGACACCTGCTTATCACACTACTGGCTGTGTTGGGCCTTCTGCTGGAGGAAGGGAAGTAGGCTCAGCTCAGTTAGTGCTGCCCCCACAGGACCAGAGTGTGGTGGTGGCTGACTTTGGCTTGGCCCGCCTCATGGTAGAAGAGCGGAATCCAGGCAGGCTCCCCCAAGCTGGGCTAACGGGCCTGCAGAAGTCAGACCGGAGGAAGAGGTACACGGTGGTCGGTAGCCCGTACTGGATGGCACCGGAGATGATCCTCGGTGAGTCAAAGGGAAGCGACTGCGATAACTGTTAGTTAAACACGTAGAAATAAGAGAAGGTAGGTGCAGTTTTGCAGCATATACAGCGCTCACAGAAAGTATTGGGGTGCTTGATTTATTCAGTAAAAATATTGGTGGGGTCAAAAAATACCACAAATAGTTCATGAAACATCGTTTGATCATCACTATTAGGTAGAACTGTAACTGTAAACCAGCCTGCTCACTGACGTTTCATTGCTAGGTCAAAGTTATGACGAGCATGTGGACATCTTCTCCTTTGGAATAATGCTGTGTGAGGTTAGCACTGCAGCTGACTCATTCCTGCAAATGATTACTGAATTGCTTTTTGAATTGTTACCATGGACTAATAAGAGTGATTTATTCCAGATCTCACTTTGGCACATTTTTGACCACTGTCTACTTTTGCTTCTAGATAATCGGCAGGGTGAACGCTGACCCGGATTATCTGCTCCGCACTGTAAACTTTGGCCTGAACATCAGAGACTTCCTAGAGCGCTACTATCCACCTGAATGCCCCATGGCCTTTTTCCCCATGGCTGCTCTATGCTGTGACCTGGACCCGGACCAGCGGTACTAAACCACTCCTTTCAGGGGTCATTGTTTTGAAAGTATAGCACTGTTTTTCCTCCCCAGTTCAGTCTATGTCTCTTCTTCTCCCTCCTCGTGTAGCACTGTTTTTCCTCCCCAGTTCAGTCTATGTCTCTTCTTCTCCCTCCTCGTGTAGCACTGTTTTTCCTCCCCAGTTCAGTCTATGTCTCTTCTTCTCCCTCCTTGTAGGCCCTCCTTTGCCAAGTTGGAAGAATGGCTCCGCAACCTGTCGATGCATCTGGCCATCCGGCTCCCCCTTGCCTCCGAGCTGGACCATGTCCACCAAACCTTCTGGCAGAGCCACACCCAGCCCAAACACAAGGCAAACGCTCCCCCTGAGTAGCTTGGGTGTCTGGAGCCTTACTCCAATGCTTGCAGAGCTATACCTTACTGGGCCATATTTAATGCACAAGGAACTCGTCATCTCATTATTCCACAGGAAATGCTGTATAATAGGAGCACTTGCTGAATTCTTCGTAGGTTTTGTATTTAGTACGCAGGTAGGAAAATGGTACTTCCTTTGAATTAGTCTCCTCTATCATTTCCAGATAACTACTGTCATAATGGCCGAACTGAATGATGGGCCATTGACTTGGCAAAAAAAAAAAACTGGCAGCTGAACTCAAGATGCTGTATTACAGAAAATACACAGGAACTTGACTGATCATGAAGGCAATAGGCGGCGAAGGAAGTATGTCTGCTTGGCCCTGTGTGAATGTAAACAAGGCCGAAGTCTGCAGAGGAACCAATGTCAGCTGATATGTGTGTCTCCAGGTCATCTGTGTGCAAACTATAATTATTGAGGTAAAGACAGAAGTTATGCTGGTTTTGGCAGATATGTCTAACCCCATGACCCTGTGGATGATATGTGTTAGGGGTTCTCAGCCTTTTGATGACTGGACTACAGACTGGTAAAGCCTGTCACCCAGGGGTTGGGAAATACTGATGTGTGTGTTTGCAGTGTTAGTCTCTGTAATGTTGCAGTGACCCAAGCTCATTTGTCGGTGTACTGCTAGAGCATTTCTCACATGAAGGTTTGTTTAATTTGCAGGTAAAATTCAGTCTCATCTCATGTGTTCCACCTTTCACCATAATGTACGCAACCAATACCCATGTTACCTCACAAAACTCCCCAGTTCTATGTGTGTGGAGTTTGCATGCTATTCCCAATATACTCGTCGGGTTTCTTCTGGGTCTACTGTTTACCCCCACAGTCCAGAAACATGCTGAGGTGAATTGGAGTTACCAAATTTTCCATAGCTGTGAATGGTGTGTGAGTGAATGGTGTGTGAGTGAATGGTGTGTGAGTGTGCCCTGTGATGGGTTGGCGCCCCATTCTAGATTATTTGTAATTATTAGGATTGACTCAGGACCCTCGTGACTTTGTATAGTATCAGCAGATATGGAATATGGATGGATAGATGGATAATTTCCAATAAGCAGTTATCTGGGTCATGGTGAATATTATACATGTTTAAAATGATTCTGTGTTAAAGTACATTTTTATGCAGAAGTTTTCTGGCCACGACCCCCTGTTAACTTAAAAAGAGCTAGACATCAGAATGTATCCACATAGATGATACATGAAGATGTAAAATGCACTGTATAAGTACACTTGAATATGTATCCACGTTTTACATACAAACATATATTATGGTTTACATTTGATATCATTTGTTAATATTTTATGTAACATGGCCATTTATGCAGGCCGCAATTTAAAGAACCAGTTTTCTGGTGAACCTCCTTTTTAAGCAAATTATAATTTAGTTTGTGGTATTTTTTTGTACAAATTGAATTAAATGTACCTACAGGTTACAATGTCACCTCCATGTTCAAGATGTGTGAGTTACACTCAGTAATTTTGGAATAACTTAAAGATCTGAAATAATGTGGTTGCCATTCTTCTGTTTACTGATTTGACTTTTTCTCTGAGCCAGATGACTATACTTGATGAGGAATTTGTAACCTTCACCCCTATGTGAAGCGTAGTGAATCGCAGCCAGCAAGCGGTCTCATGTAGCAGCTGAAATGCTGTAGCTGCATTCCGTGTGTGTAGCTGGTAATAGGATGTTCCCTCGGGTGGCCGCTGTTTGGCTCACAATTTTACGTATTTGTCTCACCTCAGAAAATCGTTTGATTTGGTGTAAAAACATACAGTATGTGAAATTTTAACAAATTATTTAAAAAATGTACAGGTAGCTCAATGAGGTTGAAGTGTGCTGTCTTATTGTCGGAATTTGCAGAAATGCATAGAACGCAATGTTCGTGTGATCATAAGCCATATGTCACACACAGTACGGAAATTTCTAGTTGTCAAGCAGTAATACGTATATTTTAAATAATCCCCTTTAGGCCTATCACGGTTGTATGCAGACTTTGTTTTAATGATTTTATACAAGGCACTTTCACAGTCAGTAACACCGTCTGCCAGAAAATGGATAACACACTATACTCACTGTAGTGACTACAGCAATGAAAAAACAATATCACTTTAGATGTGGACTGGCATTTTTATTTTCTGAACAGTGAACAGTCTACGATGCTTTCTCATTCACTTCAAGTCTTCTTTAGTGCATCCGGATAACGCCGATTATGTTCCTCTACAACTTGAAGAAGAAACTGCAGCTGCTGCTCATCTTTTGTTAGTTGTCCGCTGTAGTCCTGAACCAGTGCAACTCCACGCACTGCATGATCGTTGACCACTGTAAGAGCATGTACTGTTCTCTTGGCCAACTGGTAGCTCTCAAGCGTGCTCCACGAGGCAGGATCTTCTGTAAGAAACGCTGTTGGAATTTTCAACAGGTCTAACAACACCAGTGACCTTTTTGATACAAAGCTAGACAACTGCCGGTCTCTTATTGTCTTCAAGTCAACAGTTGCCTTCTTTGAAGGGTTTTTATCACTCGGGGAGCTGTCCTCAATGACATGGACCATGGCCGCCCTGTCTTGGTTAGATGTATGATCATCAAACAGCGACAAGCAAACTAGCTCTTCTGAAAGGTAACAGATGTGAAGCGAACTTGCCCACTGAAACTGTTGCAATTTGTGGATGGACTGCTTCATATGCAATGAGATCCTTAAGGAACTGTTTGAGCCCGTTTGAGCTACCTCTAAATGTTTAACAATTTACCTGAAATTTGGCAGGAAGCATTTTCTCAATTAACCTAACAATTGAGGGTGAGAGATGACGATTTCAAAAGGTCAAAAATAAGTGCCACCCTAATGTTCCTGTTTCACACACTGGCCATTATAGTGAGTATAGTTTCTCTGTGTGCAAGTATAATAACGTTGGTTATCATTATCTTGAATTGAGAATTCAGCTGTACTATGTACATTCACAATGGAACCTCTTAGGATCTGATTCTGGGCAGAATTTGTCCCCAGACTTTGTGGAATTGTTAAACCGGAAAAGGTTCAGTTTCTAAGAACATGATGCCTACTGATATTCATTCTGGTTTCATTTCTAATTCTTTGCTTCAGTCATCTCAGTTTGTACAAATTGAAAGGTCACGTAATTATGAATCTTAAAGACTGGAAGTTGAAATCTAGCATTGGTAAGGGTCTATTTGTCAGTTTGTTTGTTTTTTAACGTACAAGTAGACATATGTATGGACAGATATCTGCCATCACTAATATTGTGATAAATTACTTGCCTTATGATTTCTTTTAGGGTTTTAGGGTAACACTTTACTTGAGGGGGCAAAAGTAGCTTAATAACTCAGTTACTACTCAAGTACGAATCATGAACAAATATAGTAGCTGCAGGAAATACATAAACTGTTATGATTGATTAATGATGAACGAACATGGGATCAGTATGTAATCAACACTTAGTTATCGGTTAATTAATACATTAAGTAAGAGTGTACTTACATTATTTTTATAATTTGCGTAATTTATAATTTGTCAGACGTCCCACTTCTCCTGGAAGTTCCCGGAGTCTCCTTCAAATTGACAGCAGCCCCCTAACATCTGCAAATGTTGCTTGATGTTCCCAGAAATCTATCGGGAAAATCTGTGGAAGTTCAAAGAGTATTTTTATAATGTACTGTTTGCAGCACATTGTAAGTTCTTGACTGCTGTCAGTCGACTAGTTTAGGTTTTAAACCAAGAAACCATAAAAGAATGATTGGTTGGTCCCAGCTCCTCTAGTTGCTTGGACCCACCTCCTCTACAGGCTGATTGGTTATCTCTCTGAACCAATCATTTTTCATTCTGCCTCCAGAACATTTTTGTGTAAGTAAACCTCCCATGAACTTCTTGCAAGTTTGAGTATGTCTTTCTATGCTGTATGCAGAAAGGACTGTACAGGCTGGGGAGATCAACAGGCACACAGTAATCATGGAACCAGAGGGAGTCAAGCTGAGGCTGAACATTATAGACACTCCTGGATTCAGGGATGCTATAAATAACACAGAGTGGTGTGCTGAGACTAGTCGGGGCGGGTACTTCGAGAATGCAAAAAGAAAGGTTGCGGTGGAATTCAAATCGTTCTTTGTCTTGATTCCACTCGTTTGACCCCATTTATCCTAGAAATTTCCAAGGCATCTCTTTGTAAGGAATCCTTTTTGTAAGGAGTTGGTAATGAAGCACACACACGCATATATATATATATATATATATATATACACACACACACACATATATATGTAGCAGCCAGTACAACCCCCGGGACCCCCTTTAATGGGTGGACACTTCAACCCCCCCAATGCTCAGCAAAAAGTTATGCCCTTGTTCAGGGGCAAGATCGGAACATTGAGGACACTCCTGAGCACTGCTGCCTCTACTTCATCTCGCCCTTTGGCAATGGGTAATAAGACCAACATGAAGATCATCCCTCAGGCTACACTCACCCTACATTTTTTTGAAGCTATGGAAGAAAATGTCCTTAAAGTAAAAAAAAGTCAACATACTGTATTTCACCACATTTAGGCTGCATCCGAATCAGATAAAGCTGGTACTGTAAAGTCACCATCCTGCATGCACACACCACCCACAGCAATCTCATGATGTTGCGGGACATGCTGGAGTGCATACAGATGCCAGACCTGATAGACACAACTGAGGAGAAACACTACAGGAACTACCATGTACAGCATGTGACACACTATCGTGAACGAACAGAAGTTTGATTTGTTGCAACGGCGGCATTCTGTGACGGTGCACAACATGAACCAACTATATATCAGATAGTCGAAGACTGCATTGGTAAACAAGCACATTTCATTCCAGGTATGTCAGTGAAAAACACACGGCGTGTCTGTGCGGAGGCTGCTGAAGGGCCCTGGTCTGCAGGCTGCAGTGTGCGGCGTGAGTCTCATTCTGCTCAGTCATGTGCTGCCTACTCCTTTCTCTAAGGAGATTGTAGAGGCACAGATACATCAAGAGGATTGGCTTCAGCTCTAAGCTCCATCTGCTGCGGACAATTTGAAGCAATCATATAAAACTTACCAAAAACTAGGAAACGTACACCGGAAAACATGTCTGTCAACAGCAAATTTAGGAATACAGTATACAGATACGGTAAGTACAACTATGGTAAGATTTCTGCAATTTGTAATTGTGTAGAAATCTAGAAGTTAGGCTGTAATCTGCTACTGTTATCCTTAAGATACAGATGCTAATGATAGATAATGTAAGGCATTTACTTTTTGTTTGTATTAATCATTTATACAGTAGTAGTAGGAATATATGGATCACATTTGTATTTATTTATGCATGTATTTTCCTACATTTCTGATGACCTCAGTAGATCTGTGTTTGTTTTTGACATAGAATGGTTTAAATATTTATGTTGGAGAGCCTGTAAAAAAAATACTTTTTCTATCATGTCTTTTGCATTTTTTTTTATAATGCATACTCTTTTAATAGATTAATTGACCTACAAATTAAATAACAGGACACTTGATTTTTTGTATAGGGTGTGTAGGGTAATAGTTTCAAATATAAATGTTAATTGTAAACAAATGTGTTTTAAACGTTTAAAAGGCATTTGATTTTGGGGGAAAAATTGCAGTCCAAATGGAAGATTTTAAAAGCTTAATATTTTAAAATGAAAAGAATCCTAACCTCATTAATAATTGTTTAGTTTTTAGGAAAGATGGAAAGGACTCCACCTTTAATATTAATGCATTCACAAAGCATTTTTAAACATAATCCAAGGATTTTACATTTAAACATGAAAATACAATTAATATTACAAATGGAGCCAATCAGTACATTGTGATATAATCAGATGAAAAACAAAACAGAGACAGAAATGGCTCATTGGTTTTGAAATATGTTTGAGCAATATTGTTATTCCTGGTTCCTGAAGAATCATAAAAAATATAGCATGCTCAAAAATGCTATTTTTGCAGGTTGGATTATATCTAGGGTGTCTTACTTTCATAATTTATTTAAACATTTCATCTCTAGTTCTGTATGTGACTTCCATTTTTGTCTTGTGTTTGTAGACTTCTCTTTTGTACCGACTAGGTACCGGAATGCAAGCTGTCATTGTGACAAACATCACACATGCAAATCAATCAAATGGGACCATTCACTGTAGTGGATAGAGGATGTGATACTTTGTAACATTCAAGTGTATTCAAGTGCCTTTTATAGAATTTCTCTCAGACATTGTCCCATGAAGGCACAATATCAAATTACCATTTATTAACCTATAAATCTGTTATTATTAATCTGTAGTTTTGTGGATTACTATTTTAAAGTTTGAGTTAGTTGGTAAACTGAGGGGGCACAAATAATGCAGTATTATCCTATTACTTATGTATTAATTAACCACAAACTTCGTTACATACTGATTTCACGTTCATTCATCATTGAATGAATCAGGATGCATCTTATCTCAAGCAGTTATTATATTTGTTGCTATATCTGCAAATTGTATAAACCTTTGTGAACTACTGAAGGAACAAGTAATGAATAACACAAGTGAAATACTGATCCCCTGTTTGTTCATCATTAATGAATCGTGATGCATCTTTTATCCCAAGCAGTTACTATATTTGTTCATGATTTGTTCAGTATTTATGCCCCATTAAGTAACGTGTTACCGGTTGCAATATTGCAAAAATAAACACCGCTGACTGATTGTTCTTAAATCAGGGGGCTAACTGGATTGGTATATTAGTTTTCTTTCCTATTTTATCCTTACCTAAATTCCTCACTTCGACTTCCTCACATGTACTCCCAACTTGGCTTAACTCATCCAGATGGCGAGGTAAGAAGATGGTGCTTATTGCCTTATTGCTGTGCTTTGTTTTAGCCTGCCTTCCCCTCCCCCCTCCACACACACCATTTCCTACCAAAGGTGGACATTTCAGGTACAGAAAATATACATCCAGACCAAGATTTTTGTTTCAACCAACCAGTATCATGACTCAACTGGTTGGTTGAAACAAAATCTTGGTCTGGATTTTTACTTTCTGGATTTGAAATGTTCACCTCTGTTTCCAACCTCCAGATGGCCTTTGTAATCATCTGACATTGCTGTGCTCTGTTCCCTGCATGTTGAAGTCCTTTACAGTCTTTGGCTTTAAGGTGTGGCACCAGCAGTTAAAATCTTATTCTTCTCTATGAATCCATCACTTTGTTTTCAGATGTAGTGGGAAAACATTTGTAGTGTAAAACATTGTACAAAAATGCATAAATATAAATGCAATGCATAAATTTGTAATTGACTGCAAATGGAAAAACTGTATTACAATCAAGCAGGTGTTTTTTTTGTGTGTGTGTGAACACAGTTCATTTGTAAGCCACTCGTGTTAAATGGAATAGACACTGTAGTTTAAATTTGCTCGGGTCTGAGGGTTCATCACTGTAAGAGGTCATGCTATATACTTGTTTTAAGAATAGGTTATAAGGGAATATGATGGCCTGTTTTATATTTACATTATTTTAAGGTTGTGAGTTTCTGCTGTTTGAGTTTGTGAAAGAATATCAGTCAACAAAGCCATTTGTAATTTTTGACCATATAACATCAGGTGATAATATCATTTATTTTATGTTTAGCTCCTTAAAATCTGTCTTGAGTTTGGTGATGAAATTTTCATATCAATATGGCCCTATGCAGAATCTGCTGTGTCAGTGGCTCTCCTCTGTTAGGGGAATCTTGAGTTCTAGGATGGTCGTCATAACCTGCTCTATTTCATAGTTCCTGTCCTTCTCCAAGACATCATGCACAGCTGCATGTTAAAGATGTTTGATCATTTAAACTATAACAGGGAGTTGTGGCATTCAGCTGATTTGCTATTGGATCTCGACTGTACTGTCACTATATGGCAGTTGTTTGTAATGAGAGAGCAGCAGAAAACAAATTTTGTTAATTATATTAAACACATTTCCATAGCACAGGGTATCTGGTTGCTAACTAGCTAGTTTGTGTCTGTTTCTCAAGAAAATTACCAAAATATCAAAACTAGTGTAAAAAATTGTAATGTTGTAGAATAAATGCAAGAGGTATTCTGATTTTTTTCACTCGCTCTTTTGCGCCCCCTAATGGTGATCGTCCATGTCACTTATAAGGCAGGCTGGCCCTGACCCCTCTACAGCTGTGCTTATTTCTTGTAGCTAGAACTCTGACACTTCATGAAGTGAGATAAGGCCTCCTATTATTTTTCAGGTGCATATTTAATAATATCAGCTGGTGACCACTTGGTGTTTAATAATATTAACTAGATCCATTACCAGTGTTGGGGAATTTACTCACAAAAGTAATCCATTGCAGACAGAGGTGGAAAGTTCAGGTCCAGAAAGTACAAATCCAGACCAAGGTTTTGTTTCAACCACCTAGTTGAGTACTCTGTGACTGTGACTGTTTATACTCAAATGGTTATTGAAACAAAATCTTGGTCTGTCCTTTTACTGTGTTAGCAACCACATACCCTGTGCTACTGAAATGTTTTTAATGTAAATGAATTAATAAAATTTGCTTTCTGCTGCACTCTCATTACAAACAACTGGCATGATCTGATATTTCCACCTCTGACAGGAGCTAAAAGGCTGGCATCCTATGTTGACACCGTTAAGTGCTGTTTATTCTCTTATTGATTTATAAATCATTCTGCTCTAGAGACGGTGGGATTTGGGCAGCCAGTTGAGAAGGAAGCTGTTCCTGTGGCATGATCCCTAGTCTGTCATAGTCTGGAAGTTTTCTGGGTCGTCTGGGGATGGTGGCATTGCCGCCCTGATGGTCTTGCATGGCACAGACAGTTTGACAGCTGAGATTCCGGCTGTAGAGCCATGATGTTCTACCTGTTTAGAGAATCATATAGCTCCTCTCATACAGTTTGTCTGTGAAGAGTGTTATGAGGCATGAACTGAAACTGAAAATTCTTCCCCATAAAGAACAAAACCAAAATGTACGCTTGGTACTTTGCTTTGTATAGAGGTTATGTGGAATGTAGCTATACTGCATGTGATTGGCCTGAATTTTCTAGACCAGGGGTCACCAGCCTTTTTGAAACTGAGAGCTACTTCACGGGTACTGAGCCATACGAAGGGCTACCAGTTTAAGTTTAAACTTATCTAAACTTCATGTATAATAAACATGTTTTAAATGCTTTTTTTAGATGTTGTCATTTTCAAATCTATATACATGCAAATTAAGTGAAATTAAATTAAAGAAGAATAGCAACAGGATAAAATTAAATTTTAGATGCTGCTGCCTGGTAAGTTGTGCTATTTTTAGAACAGGTCCACAGGTGACTCGTGGTCCTTGTGGGCATCCTGATGCCTGTGGGCACCATGTTGGTCACCCCTGTTCTAGAGCCTATAGTATAGTATAAAAAGAAAAAGACCTCCCTCCCTTTATAGTGCCAGAGGCACTTCTGAGTGTAAATTGCATCAAGTAAGCCAATACATAGCATGACATAAAATATATTGTCAACTATTTGTGCTATTCTGTGCAGATTGAAGCTGACTTGTAGGTACAGCAAGTTAATGCTAATTTAGGATGCATTGATACGACTGATACGAAGTTTGACCTGAGCGTCCCATATATCCATTTGAAACAGCTCACTGCTTGGAGTTTGAGCTTTAAGAGGCTTTGTGTTTTGTGTCACAAGTTAAGAACAATTATTCAGTTGTTTTTATTCTTCCCTTAGTACTTTATCCTCTTGTAATGCCAGGCAATTCTTTTTATCTATGTGTTATATTCCCTTGATCCTTGGCCTTACAAACATCTCTGTCGTCCTGCTAGTTCTGCAGCTTCTCCATGGCTGAGTCAGACTTGGAGGTGAATCACGCCATGAGGGACTTCCTTCCTAGCTGGGCCCACTCTTCCCCCAGCCGAGAACCGTCATGTGATCGTGTGGTGGGGGAGGCCACTAGCCGCCCACTCACCCCGGGGAGACACCCTTTCTTCCGCCAAATCACACCAAATAGAACCTCCAGGGACTTATCTACAGAGTCGGAATCACTGTTGAGGTTCAACCTGAGCTCCATGGACCTGCCTCTCAGCCCATCACGTCCTAAGAGTCCTTGGGGCCACTTTGACCCCTACGATTCAGTTGAGGTAGAATATATAAACCACTGTAGCCCCTATAGATTTCTCACAAGAAATATATAATGACATGAGCATCACCTAGTATGAACAAATGCCATAAATCCACATGTACCTTTATCTGATTAACATGGACTGTCTGGTTTTAGGACTTGGGTGATTTTCTGGTCAAACAGATGCCTGTATTAATGCTGTTACACTGCGAATGAGTCATGGATTCCCTGTTGGTGATTTTCTTTAGAGCGACAGAAATCAGAGTTTTAAGCAATAAACCATGGGTTTCTGTGAGTAATGCTTTACATTAATTGCACCTTCATAATGCATCTATTACGCATTCATAGAATATTCAGTGCACCTTAATAATGCATTCATAGAACATTCATAACCAGCATGTAAGTATACCATAACATCCCAACATACCTTAACAACGTTAATATACATCAATAGCAAACATTACATGATTATATTATTCTAATGTTTGTTATCGTATAATGTTTGTTATTAATGTGTGAATGTTTTATGAATGTTCTATGAATGCATGATGAATGTGAATTGAATGTTCTATGATTGCATTATTAAGGCATCTTGAAGCTACAGTTAATGTAAAGTGTTACCTGGCAGAGGTATTCAGATTTTCTTTTAGATTTATGGACAGCAAATAGTTGTTTTTTTTGATGATGTCACTAGTCTTAGGACTAAATCCAAATAGCAGGTATTCTCATCATACTGTAGTTAATCTACTGAATTATAAACACACTGGCTAAAGTCATGTCTCCTTTACAGGACCAAGACAAAGAATATGTTGGTTTTGCAACGTTGCCAAACCAGGTACACAAAAAATCAGTAAAAAGGGGCTTTGACTTCACATTGATGGTAGCGGGTGAGTACAGCTGGGTAGGATTTCCTGCTGTGTCATTGTATAGGTAATGATACACAGGGTAACTTTTTGAGCAATGTTGCTGGGTAACCACCAGCCAGGTGAGACAAAGGCCAACTCAGCTGAATCTGGATGATTATGAAAAGTTGCCCATTGCTGTTGAAATTTGGTGCCCAATATCAATCGGAAAGTGCCCAAGCAACATTCGTCAGCAACACTGCCCGGCAACATGGCTCAAAAAGTTGCCCTGTGTATTGTCACCCTTAGAGGTCTTGTGTACCTGAGAAACCATCATTGTCACTAATGTCATTTTATCCCCTAAATCCATTGATATTTACTAATAAATCTTTTTACAAATATTTCGTTTGAAAAGTTAGTGGATGGGCAGCATTTCAGTGCAAAGAAAAATTAAATTTTGATCCCAGCATTGTGTCTCCTAGCAACAATGAAGTATGTTTTATTTTAGGAGAATCTGGCCTGGGAAAATCTACTCTTGTCAACAGCCTTTTCCTCACAGACCTATATAAGGACAGGAGGCTTTTCAGTGCAGAAGGTGGGATATGAGCTTAATCTATTGTTAGCATTAAATTTGAGTTTGCTTTCAGTTTGTTCCTATGCAGATTTAATGTTATCGTCTATGACGCCTTATGAACCATTTGCTGTATTCTTTTGACCCCACTAGATGGTGCTCTTGGTTTGTGTGGGGCATTCTTTGTGCCCTTTTTTTGAGCTCCGTCTAGTGTGGTCAAAAAATACAGCAAACGGTTCATGAAGTGTCATTATGTCTCACTACTGTTGTCATTCGAGGTGGTGTTACTATTGGGGGAACAGTAGAATAGTCTATTGACACAGGCTAAAGTAACCAGGACCTTCCATCTATGACCTACCCAATTATCCAGCACAGGGTTGAGGGATAACCAGAGCAAGCAATCTTATCCACAAAGGTCCAGTGTGTGCGCTAGTTTTTGGGATAACCTTTAGGTCAGCTATTCAAACCCAGGTGTGAGGACTTTTCAGCCAGTCAGTGCTCTAAATAGTAATCTAATTAGGGAGTTGCAGCAAAAACCTGCATACCAAACGGCACTTTCTGGATAAGATTGTCCACCCCTGGTCTTAAGCATACCAGTGCTATGCAGGGCTGAGTGCCTGTCTCCGCTTTCTGCAGAGAGAATCACACAGACGGTGGAAATCACTAGGTGCACAGTCGACATTGAGGAGAAAGGGGTGAAACTGAGGCTGACCGTGGTGGACACACCAGGGTTTGGTGATGCCATCAACAACAAGGAATGGTAGGTGTGCTTGGATGGAGGCGGGGTTTAAGGGGGAACAAAATGTAAAGAATTGTTTACAATTTGCATATTTCCGCAAACCAGTAGTGATGGGCAAATGAAGTTCTGTTCATAAAAGGGCACAAAGCTTGCCCTAAAGCAAACCAAGGGCACCATCTAGTGGGGTCAAAAAATATAGCAAATGGTTCATGAAGCTTAATTTGCCCGTCACTACAAACCAGTATTAATAAATATTGTTTTTCAAATTTTTTTTCCCCCATGTTTGGTTAATCCTGCTGTTTTGTGGAAGTTGGCGGCCTGTTGTAGACTACATTGAAGAGCAGTTTGAGCAGTACTTCAGGGATGAGAGTGGCTTAAACCGCAAGAACATCCAGGACAACCGCGTGCACTGCTGCCTCTACTTCATCTCACCCTTCAGCCACGGGTACAAGGACTGGACATGTGTTAGTGTTAAGAACATAAAACCTCGTTCATATTTACAATTTTCTGCAACCAGAGGCAAAGATTTCTACCAGAAATGAATAAATATCCTACATATACACTGACATTAAAGGCGGCGCTACATTTCCCTTAATCTTGTGTGAAGTAAACAGTAAAGTCTAACTTTTGCACTTTGAGGTATTTTAGACCATTTTAACTTACAGACATGGCCTAATGAGTTAAATGATTTTGAGGGTGTCTACCTTTTCTATCTTAGCCTCAGGCCTATAGATGTAGAGTTCATGAAGGCTCTACATGAGAAGGTCAACATTGTGCCAGTGCTGGCTAAGGCCGATAGCCTCACCCCATATGAAATGAGGAAGAAAAAAATTAAGGTGAGTATGGAGCACCTGAACGTTCATAGTCAGATAATGACTTGGGGGGTGTTCCATGAAGCACGATTTCGGATGACTTGTTGAATTTAAGATATTTAAGGTCTGGGTTAAATGGACTTTATTTTCATTCCCTGACATTTAGCTCAGACTATCTTAAATCTGACAAGTTATCTGGCTAAGCAAGAAATCCTGCTTCATGGAACCCCCAGGTTATCTGACTAATGTTCAGCAGCACAAAGAGGAGGAACGATCAAAGCCTGTACACATATTCACATGGCATGTGCACTATACATCTGGAATGTGCACATATGTACCCGTATCAGGCAGGTAAACATTGATCATGCCATTTGAGAGCATGCTGGACGGCTGCTGTGTGTCACATTGGCCAAAGCAGTGGACTTACTGTCTTGTCCACCCTCCAGATACGGGAGGAGATGGAGCAGCATGGAATCAAGATCTTCCAGTTCCCAGACTGCGACTCAGACTCAGATGAAGACTTCCGACAGCACGACCAGGAGCTAAAGGTTAAGTCTGTATGTAGGAACAATAAGACTCTCTACCAGTTTTAGAAAGAATAGCAGAAGCACAACAATTTAATGAACAGATTATATATGACATTTGCAAATCTAACCTGTCTGTTCTTTGGTACATTAGAGCCTCCTAGGTTTGCTATTGATACAATTATCTTTTTTCCAGGGCAGAGTTCCTTTTGCCATAATTGGCAGCAACATGGTGGTGGAGAGCATGGGGCGCCAGGTTCGAGGGCGTCTGTATCCTTGGGGCACTGTGGAAGGTATGGGGAGCTACAATGCATTGTGTTACAATCTTGTTCTTTTTTCTGAAATGCTGATTATCTAGCGCAGGGGTCACCAACCCTGGTCCTGGAGATCTACCACCCTACAGAGCTTCTGTGCAGCCCTAATTAATACACACCTGATACAGATAAGTATTGCAGCCTGCTATATTGAAGCTAAGCTGACTCTAATACCAAGAAACTACTGAAGGGCCTGATTATCTGTGACAGGTGTGTTAAATTTAGGGCTGCGCCTAAGCTTTACAGGGTGGTAGATCTCTGAGAGCAGGGCTGGTAAACACTGGTCTAAGGCGATACTGCTGTCTAACTATGTTTCATGTTAAGGGCAATGTTGATTTGAACTTACCTACCATGATGTACCCAAAGCAAACTTTGCTGATCTTGGTTGTGTGGTCATCAAAAATGATTCTGATTCATTGACTCACTGATGTGCAAATGTTGATATTTATTAGGTATCTTATATATAGATTGACCTCTAGTCCTGGTATTGTTCTCTTGTTCTGCTGATTAAATAGTGTTGTCTATGTGAAAGCTATGATGTTCTGTCCCTTGCGATCCCCCTAGCCTCTGTCTAACTTCAATAGCTCGGCCTATAGTGTCACTCGGCAGGTGACATGATTCGTTTCCGCTTACGGGTGGGCATGGTCTGAGAGGTGACCCTAAATCGAGTCCGCCTGTGCTGTCGGTCGCTTTGTTAGTGGAGGATCCCGCCCACAGCGATTTCCTGATGCTACGCGACGTGCTGGTGTGCACTCACATGCAGGACCTGAAGGACATCACCAGGGAGACACACTATGAGAACTACCGCGTGCAATGCATCCAGACCATGACCCGTAAGGTGGCTAGAGAGAGAAGGCACACGTGAGTGTGTGTGATGGGTCAGCCAGACTTGCAGAGTTTTGTCCAGACACACACACACACACATACACAACACTGCACAAAACACTAAAACAATGTGTCCTGAATCAAGTCAGCTTCTCATTTAGTATGACTCTGGGCAACCTCAGATTTCAATGCTTCATGTGTGTATGTAGTAGACCGACTCAGGACAACAGGGCGGACTTTCCGATCCCCTTAACGTCATGCTCCACGGATAGCAACGCAGAGAGACTTGTTTGGGAGAAGGAGGTCAAATCAAGCAGGATCCTTTAAAAGGAGGCTTCTTGCCCAGGTACAGACTGGGAAATGTGAACCAGGGAACCTTTCAGATGTGATTAGTAGTATCACCCGCGTCTGTATTGGAAGCCTTACTGGTGTCTTATCCGATTTGCAGCACGGGCGGATGCAGGAAGGACCACACAGGATCCCGGGACAGAAAGAAGCTCATTAGAAAATGCCACCTATTTTCAATCTCTTCATGTCCAAAACATAATATTTTGTTAGGGTGTCTGACAGCGTCCATGTGATCTTTATTCATAAGTTCATGTTATACTCCTAAATGCAAAAAAGGAAGCGGGGGTGAGGGGGCTTGGCGCAGGTTGGGCTTGTTATGCTGCTTTCACGAACCCTGGAGTTATTCCCGGGATATCGTGTCCCACACTATCTGAAAGTATAACGTGAAACCCATGACTGACGAAAGCAAGGAGCTCTGACAATGTTATGTAGGTGTGTCTGTACGTTACGTAGGCGTTGATGGTTAAAAAATGGAAACCTCAAGCAAGCGAAAAAGAAGATTGTAAGATCTGATTTATTTGTGACCTATAGATGCAGATGGGATTGCAACTGAAATGTCCTGGGAGCCCACAATTTGAGAGACAAAGTACCCTGGTCAGATCATTTTGGAAACGATGATGTCAAACAACCATTGCTGCAAATGTAATAATATTTATTAAGAATCTTCATGATTATAATTCCATTTTCTCTCTTCTTTAAACATAATGGACAGTTAGATGCAGCCCAGAATTTACAGGCAATACATAACTTAAACTTTCTCCATAGGGAAAACAATTATATATATATATATATAATTTTATATATATATTTATAGATATATATGCATTGTTAAAGTGGAAAGAGGTCTGTAAAAGTGACCTTATGGTTCTCCATAATTGTACATGGTCCCCCCCCCCCCCAAAAAAAAAAAAAAACCTTAAAATAAAACTCTGCAATCTACATGCAAAAACAGGCAATGATTAAAGCTTAAAGCATACACACAAACATGTCAATATGCGCTTATACTCACACTTAACTTCACACTAATATAAAACTCACAACTGAACTCCGGGCATTATGCTTTAAAAAAATTCAGATTTCAAAAAGTAAGACTGGCTTTTCCACAACACACACGTACACACAGACTGGGCATGTTTTTCATAGCTATGCACTGCAGCTGGTGTAAATCATAGTCGCCTTACCCCCCCCACCCCCAAACATATGCACCAAATTGACACACCAGCGACTCCAAATCACACAGTATGATTGGAAGTGATGCTGGGACATGTGGGAAAGAAGGGCGAAGGGGGGCAAGGCTGTACAGAGCTTCGAATGTGCTGGAATCTTCTCGTCTCTGTGACATGGAAGGAGATTTCTCACTTGGTAGTGTCTATCAACCAGGAGAAGGTTAACACCTAAACTAACTACACCAGCCAGTGCACCAGGCAGTTACCCCCATCCCGCGATACCAGTGTTTCTCAATCCGGTCCTCGGGGACCCGCAGACGGTCCACGTTTTTGCTCCCTCCCAGCTGGAGGAAGCAAAAGCTGGGAAGGAGGAAAAACAAGGACAAGGACTGGGTTGGGAAACACTGCTCTATACCATCTCACCCCAGAGGGTAGTGTCTGTATCTCTTTTCGTAGAGAACCGGGGAAGGAGGCCCATTAAGGAGGGGGGGGGGGGGCAAGCCAACAACCTTGTGTCCATTTGCAGCAGTCCAGTAAGCAGTCAGACGCAGCCATCTGCAGCACAGCACAGTCTGCAGGTCAAGGTTCTTTACAGCAGTTTCCCAACCCGCCCCTTGGGGACCCCCGGACAGTCAACGTTTTTGCTCCCTCTCAACTCCCGCTAAAATGCGGCCTGTCTGGCAAGGAGCTGGGAGGAAAACAAAAACGTGGGGACTGGTTTGGGAAACAGTGCTTTATAGAGCCAGGCAAACAGCCTTAAAAGGGAACGGAACCAGAGTCCCTTCAGTCAGACCTCTATACATCGCGATTAAGCTGTTCTGCACCCCTAAAACCAACTCAGGGTCACAATGTGCCGCATGAGGTGCAGTAACACCCTCTGGACAGAAGAGGGCAGGAGCGCGACACTCCACGACACACGGCCACAGGCTGTGACCACCAACAATCTGGTCATGATTATTGGTCACACTGAAGGCGCGAGGGCGACACACAGCGTTTGTGGGCCGAGGGTAAGGCTTGTGCCAGAGGCACGTTAACTCCAGATATCTTTTTCAAGGAGTACAATTATCAAGACTTTGTCTTCATTCAGACTGTAACATTCAACCTGCATCTAACATTTACTAACATATTTTGTAATTTTTTATTTGCTTACCCAGATAACAACCCAAGAGAAATTACACACACCTTGGTCAAAAAAAAAAATCATGGAATCATGACCTGACTCAGATCATGTGACCATGCACAGTGAAACCACCTGAGTCTCAGATCACATGACTGCCCACAGTGAAACTATGCAACGGAGATACCATGCCACTGTACACCGTAAAACCCATGTAACCGAATGCAGAATGATGAAGAGCAGAAAGCATACGACACACAAACGAGCCAAACAAGCCAGTCTGGGTAACATTTCACCTGTCCCCATAACAGGCGTCCAACTCCACATATGCACGTCACAATCCCAAATGTGTGCACAGACCGTTTCATATACATCTTTGACAAAAATAGATTTTTTTTTTTTTGGAATGTAAAGTTTTTAATGCGGTTTGTGATTCTATCCAAATCTGCGGTTTTGAATTTCCATCAGTTCCAGTCGATGTGTGCGTGCATGTGTTCCGTCTGTCTGGAAGTAAGTCTATGTGCACTTAAGTCTGCAAGCTCCTCCCCCTTAAGCCAGATTCAGGCTCCTCCCCCTTCAGCAAGATTCAGGCTCCTCCCCCTTCAGCAAGATTCAGGCTCCTCCCCCTTAAGCCAGATTCAGGCTCCTCCCCCTTAAGCCAGCTTCAGGCCACTGACAGGGAAGGAGGGCATGGTCACCATGGTGACGGGGTTGAGCACAGCTCCCCCTACCAGCTGTGGGTGGCGTGACACCACCTGCTGTTTGCCTACGAGGGCGGTGGCCTGGGGGCCAGAGGCAGGGCCCGAACCATTCACCTGGGCATGGCTCAGAGTGTGTGCGATATGGCTGACCACGGCAGCAGCTGCAGGGGGTTGTGGGTACAAGGTGGTGCCCAGGTGAGTCACCGGGTGCACCGTGATGTGACCGATGGGGGTGGAGGCTGAGGCAGAGGAGGATGAGGAAGAGGAGGAAGATGGGGCTATGTGAGCAACATGCTTGGGACCAGCCTGGATCACATGGCTCACGGCCTGAATGACAGAAGCGTGCGAGGCTGAGGCCGCATGGGCGATCACCGTGGGTTGGGTGACTAGGTGCGGGTGGGCAACCATAGCCTGGGCGGGGCCAGGGGGTGGGGCCAGTATTCCAGGGGGCGGGGCTGGATGCTGGAGGGAGACGGCAGCCACTATGGGGGCCGGTGGCTTCTGGGGGGCTTTGGGGAGAGAGACAGGTGCAGTGGCAACAGTTGCTGTGGAAATGTGCTCATCCTGGTCCAGATTGTCTTCGCCCTCTGGCAGAGAGATCAGAAAAACGCCCAGTCAGTCCAGCCAGAGAAAAGAAGAGAAAATAACCTTTGCAAAAGAAGAAGTGACAAATAACATAAAACAATTACATCATTTGCCTATAACTTCTCTGCCCTTGATCACACCAGCTTTGATGCCTTTCTCAGAGGCTCTCTGGCCATGCTATCACTGCCCCAAGCATCTGGCTTGCCTACCTGAGGCTGTGGAGGTCGAGGCCTGGTCGTCCTCGGGCTGCGCTGCCTGCCGCAGCAGCCGCTCCATCTCCATGCCGTCCACCCACTGGCTCAGCTCGTCACGCAGCTCCGCCAGCCGCTGCTGGGTGGCAATCTTCTCCCGCGCTAGGCGCTCCATCTCGTGCTCAAACTCCTTCTCTTTCCTCTTCAGCATCTGCAAGCACATAGAGTGGTCGGTGGATTTCCCTCTAGCGCCACCTGTTGCCCGGCTGACTACATAGCAAGCTTCAGGAGGCCTGAACACACACACACCTCAGTATGGTTTTCCTGTGTCGCGGTTCATGTGTACCTGCCTAACAATCTCACAGCCCCACAGGTATAACTGGTACAACCTCAGCCGAGGATTGACAACCAGCATGACTCTGTCAAGGCAACTCTTGTCAAGCTCTTGTCAAGGCAACTCCCCATATCATTAAGGCTTCCACACACACAGACACACACCTGTCCCTGTGTCTCCCAAAGAAACAGCAGGGCGAGGAGGAAAAGTAGAAGTCAGGCAGTCGGTGGGGAATGTTCCTTATACTAATGACCTAGTTTTCAGTCAGCTGACACGGGAAAGCCAAAGAGGTCGCAAGGACAGGGCGGCTAAGGAAATAAAATAAAAATAATTTAAAAATCGAAATTGTGTGTGAGT